TTGGTCACATAAATATATCTACTGCTGTATTATTGTGTGCTTGTTGACATTTACTACATTGATTGATAGGAACTAGGAACATAAACATTCCGCTGCACCCGCCATAACACCTGCTAATCTGTGTACACAGCATATATTAATTTTATTTTGTTTCTGTGTCCTTCCATCATAACAGATGACAATGAATGCCAAAATGTCACTAATATCTGTGGAAACAACAGCAACTGTACCAATACAGAGGGCAGCTACTACTGCACCTGTGCCCCAGGATACACTTCAACCGGCCTGAAGGAATTTCAACCAAATGATGGGACAGAATGCACTGGTATTATATATATATATATGTATATATATATATATATATATATATATATATATATATATATATACAGTGGGGAAAAAAAGTATTTAGTCAGCCACCAATTGTGCATGTTCTCCCACTTAAAAAGATGAGAGAGGCCTGTAATTTTCATCATAGGTACACGTCAACTATGACAGACAAAATGAGAAAAAAATATCCAGAAACTCACATTGTAGGATTTTTTATGAATTTATTTGCAAATTATGGTGCAAAATAAGTATTTGGTCAATAACAAAAGTTTCTCAATACTTTGTTATATACCCTTTGTTGGCAATGACACAGGTCAGACGTTTTCTGTAAGTCTTCACAAGGTTTTCACACACTTGTTGATGTTATTTTGGCCCATTCCTCCATGCAGATCTCCTCTAGAGCAGTGATGTTTTGGGGCTGTCGCTGGGCAACACGGACTTTCAACTCCCTCCAAAGATTTTCTCTGGGGTTGAGATCTGGAGACTGGCTAGGCCACTCCAGGACCTTGAAATGCTTCTTACGAAGCCACTCCTTCGTTGCCGGGGCGGTGTGTTTGGGATCATTGTCATGCTGAAAGACCCAGCCACGTTTCATCTTCAATGCCCTTACTGATGGAAGGAGGTTTTCACTCAAAATCTCACGATACATGGCCCCATTCATTCATTCCTTTACACGGATCAGTCGTCCTGGTCCCTTTGCAGAAAACAGCCCCAAAGCATGATGTTTCAACCCCCATGCCTCACAGTATGTATGGTGTTCTTTGGATGCAACTCAGCATTCTTTGTCCTCCAAACACGACGAGTTGAGTTTTTACCAAAAAGTTATATTTTGGTTTCATCTGACCATATGACATTCTCCCAATCCTCTTCTGGATCATCCAAATGCAAACTTCAGACGTGCCTGGACATGTACTGGCTTAAGCAGGGGGACACGTCTGGCACTGCAGGATTTGAGTCCCTGGCGGCGTAGTGTGTTACTGATGGTAGGCTTTGTTACTTTGGTCCCAGCTCTCTGCAGGCCATTCACTAGGTCCCCCCGTGTGGTTCTGGGATTTTTGCTCACAGTTCTTGTGATCATTTTGACCCCACGGGGTGAGATCTTGCGTGGAGCCCCAGATCGAGGGAGATTATCAGTGGTCTTGTATGTCTTCCATTTCCTAATAATTGCTCCCACAGTTGATTTCTTCAAACCAAGCTGCTTACCTATTGCATATTCAGTCTTCCCAGCCTGGTGCAGGTCTACAATTTTGTTTCTGGTGTCCTTTGACAGCTCTTTGGTCTTGGCCATAGTGGAGTTTGGAGTGTGACTGTTTGAGGTTGTGGACAGGTGTCTTTTATACTGATAACAAGTTCAACAGGTGCCATTAATACAGGTAACGAGTGGAGGACAGAGGAGCCTCTTAAAGAAGAAGTTACAGGTCTGTGAGAGCCAGAAATCTTGCTTGTTTGTAGGTGACCAAATACTTATTTTCCACCATAATTTGCAAATAAATTCATTAAAAATCCTACAATTTGATTTTCTGGATAGTTTTTTCTCAATTTGTCTGTCATAGTTGACGTGTACCTATGATGAAAATTACAGGCCTCTCTCATATTTTTAAGTGGGAGAACTTGCACAATTGGTGGCTGACTAAATACTTTTTTCCCCCACTGTATATAGTACCAGTCAAAAGATTGGACAAACCTACTCATCCAATGGTTTTTCTTTATTTTGACTATTTTCTACATTGTAGAATAATAGTGAAGACATCAAAACTATGAAATATTACATTTGGAATCATGTAGTAACCAAAAAAACAAATCAAAATATATTTTATATTTTATATTCTTCAAAGTAGCCACCCTTTGCCTTGATGACAGCTTTGCACACTCTTGGCATTGTCTCAACCAGCTACAATGTAGAAAATAGTAAAAATAAAGAAAAATCCTTGAATGAGTAGGTGTGTCCAAACTTTTGACTGGTACTATATATATAGCGCATTCGGAAAGTATTCAAACCCCTTGACTTTTTCCACATTTTGTTACGTTACAGCCTTATTCTAAAATGGATTAAATCGTTTTTTACCCTCATCAATCTCCTCCACACAATACCCCATAATGACAAAGCAAAAACAGTTTTTTTAGAAAGTTTTGCAATCAAAAAAAATAATATATACTGATATATCACATTTACATAAGTATTCAGACCCTTTACTCAGTACTTTGTTGAAGCACCTTTGGCAGCGATTACAGCCTCGAGTCTTCTTGGGTATGACGCTACAAGCTTGGTACACCTGTATTTGGGGAGTTTCTCCCATTCTTCTCTGCAGATCCTCTCTGTCAGGTTGGGTGGGGAGCATTGTTGCACAGCTATTTTCACGACTCTCCAGAGATGTTCGATCGGGTTCAAGTCCGGGCTCTGGCTGGGCCACTCAAGGACATGCAGAGACTTGTCACAAACCACTCCTGCGTTTTCTTGACTGTGTGGTTGTCCTGTTGGAAGGTGAACCTTCGCCCCAGTCTGAGGTCCTGAGCTCTCTGGAGCAGGTTTTCATCAATGATCTCTCTGTACTTTGCTCCATTCATCTTACCCTCGATCCTGACTAGTCTCCCAGTCCCTGCCGCTGAAAAACATCCCCACAGCATGATGCTGCCACCATGCTTCACCGTAGGGATGGTGCCAGGTTTCCTCCAGACGTGACACATTGGCATTCAGGCCAAAGATTTTAATATTGGTTTCATCAGACCAGACAATCTTGTTTCTCATGGTCTGAGAGTCTTAAGGGGCCTTTTGGCAAACTCCAAGCGGGATTTCATGTGCCTTTTAAATGAGGAGTGGCTTCCGTCTGGCCACTCTACCATAAAGGCCTGATTGGTGAAGTGCTGCAGAGATGGTTGTCCTTCTGGAAGGTTCTCCCATCTCCACAGAGGAACTCTGGAGCTCTGTCAGAGTGACCATCGGGTTCTTGGTCACCTCCCTGACCAAGGCCCTTCTCCCCCGATTGCTCAGTTTGGCCGGGCTGCAAGCTCTAGGACGAGTCTTGGTGGTTCCAAACTTCTTCATTTAAGAATGATGGAGGCCACTGTGTTCTTGGGGACTTTCAATGCTGCAGACATTTTTGGTACCCTTCCCCAAATCTGTGCCTCGACACAATCCTGTCTCGGAGCTCTACGGACAATTCCTTCGACCTCATGGCTTGGTTTTTGCTCTGACATGCACTGTCAACTGTGGGACCTTATATAGACAGGTGTGTGCCTTTCCAAATCATGTCCAATCAATTGAATTTATCACATGTGGACTCGAATCATGTTGTAGAAACATCTCAAGGATGATTAGTGGAAACAGGATGCACCTGAGCTCAATTTCGAGTCTAATAGCAAAGGGTCTGAATACTTTTGCAAAAATTTCTCAAAACTGTTTTTGCTTTGTCATTCTGAGGTATTGTGTTTAGATTGATGAGAGAAAAAAAACAATTTAATCCATTTTAGAATAAGGCTGTAACGTAACAACATTTGGAAAAGGTCAAGGGGTCTGAATACTTTCCAAATGCACTGTATATATATATATATATATATATATATATATATATATATATATATATATATATATATAGAAAAACCCTTATATATATATATATATATATATATATATATATATGTTTTTTTTTCTCAACATTACAACACATGTTTAAGAAACTGATATCCTAGATTTATTTTCAGTTTGAATCTATCATTCATCAGACCTATTTTATGTCTTTCATTCAGAAAAAAATACCCTGTTATTCTTTTTACTATCAGATATTGATGAATGCAAGAACGGCCAAATCTGTGGACCATTCTCACATTGCCACAACACAAATGGATCTTTATTTTGCACCTGCCAAAGAGATTACATTTCTACTTCAGGCACTAAGCGATTTCATCCAGAGAATGGGATAATATGTCAAGGTAAGCATCTGGAATCAAATCTGCATGGAATTTCAATTCACCCACTAAGTTTTGAAACTAAAGGTTTGAGGGAAATGGGAGGATACAATATATAAATTATGTGAGGTTACCATATTATATAAAAATCTTTGCTGAGAACTTATAAACATATTGTGAGCAGTGTTATCTTAATTATCTTTTCAAAATTAAATATGTAACACTTTTGGTATGTCCTGGTGATATCATAGTCGTAAAAATGTAGATATTCTTAAACAAACAAGCAGTTTTGAGTTTACTCTAGCCTACTGTCAAATTAATATGATGATTCCATATGTTGTATTCCAGAGCATCCCAAGAAAAATTGTCATGACAACGTTGTGTGCATAACACAAAGTGTCAACAGAACACTTGAATATGTAAGTACTCTAACAAATGAACTAGGATGGTAGTACCACTTATAATATATAAGAGGGCACCACCCTCTGTTAGTCACTGTTAAGGCATACATATATTTTCTATATAGATATTTAATTGGTACATGTGTTAATTGGTACATCAATCAGGATCTCCTTTTTGGAAGATATGGTAATATCCATGTGTAGAACTGTGCATAGGTCTGAAACATTTTTGTGGGAATAACTTAGTTTAATTGTCTGCTTTGCTTTAAGATTTAGTAGATATTTTTAAATGGACTATCCTATTTCTCCTATTTGGACAGGATGCATCCATTGGAGCTTACTTAATCTTGTCTCTACCATTTGTAGATCAGAAATCTTACAGATCTTCAGAGCCTGCTGGTGGAGATTGAAAAACAGACGTCAGGAGAGCTGACGTCGGTGGATGTGATCTCCTATGTGGAGGCCCTCTCTCAATCGGCCTCGCTGATGAGCTCTGGGGAGAAAAATCTAACCGTCAAACCAGCCGTGACCAAAGCAATTCTCAGAGTAATCTTTATTTCCACTAGCAATGCTATTGCTCTTTTTAGAAGTAGGATACTAAATGTTCTTGGCCTAAGGGTATATATATACATATGGTTTCTGTCATCATTTATAAGGCTGCTTAAACTTTGCTGCATATACATTTAAAACAGAGAAAGGGTTGTTCAATCCATTAAAATACACAGTATGATTTGTCTTGTTGCTTGATATTCATAAATGCTTTTGTTAAACTGCCTTCATTTCTTTTCCACAGACATTTTTAAATGTGGTGAACAATTTGGTTGAGAAGGATGAGTTGGTGGCCTGGAACAGAATCAAAAAGGAACACCGGGACTACACCATAACCAAACTCTTACACACAGTGGAGGAGAGTACCCTGACACTGGCCAGGAAATATAAAGCGACTACTGAGATTGAGATCAAAGAGAGTGAAATGGGTAAGAAGAATTCCACAATCATGTCTCTTAGCACGGACACACCGGTAGCGGTTGCCGGCCGAGAGCAGGGGCGTTTCTAGGACTTAAGGACAAAGCCAAAGAGGGAACCCTAGTTGGGTAATAAAAAACAGCTAAATGCATCAATCTGGTGTACTTTGAGATGAACATTGAGAGATTAGATTTCTATTAAGAATTTGTCAAAAATATATATACATTGCCTTGCAAAAGTATTCATCCCCATTGGCGTTTTTCCTATTTTGTTGCATTACACCTGTAATTTAAATTGATTTTTATTTGGATTTCATGTAATGGACATACACAAAATAGTCCAAAATGGTGAAGTTTAATGAAAAAAAAAAATAACAGAAAAGTGGTGCGTGCATATGTATTCACCCCCTTTGCTATGAAGCCCCTAAATAAGATCTTGTGCAACCAATTGCCTTCAGAAGTCACATAATTAGTTAAATAAAGTCCACCTGTGTGCAATCTAAGTGTCACATGATCTGTCACATGATCTCAGTATACAGTTGAAGTCAGAAGTTTACATACACCTTAGCCAAATACATTTAATCTCAGTTTTTCACAATTCCTGACATTTAATCCTAGTAAAAAATTCCAGGTCAGTTAGGATCACCACTTTATTTTAAGAATGGGAAATGTCAGAATAATAGTAGAGAGAATGATTTATTTCAGCTTTTATTTCTTTCATCACATTCCCAGTGGGTCAGAAGTTTACATACACTCAATTAGTATTTGGTAGCATTGCCTTTAAATTGTTTAACTTGGGTCAAACATTTCGGGTAGCCTTCCACAAGCTCCCCACAATAAGTTGGGTGAATTTTGGCCCATTCCTCCTGACAGAGCTGGTGTAACTGAGTCAGGTATGTAGGCCTTGCTCGCACATGCTTTTTCAGTTCTGCCACACACATTTTATATAGGATTGAGGTCAGGGCTTTGTGATGGCCACTCCAATACCTTGACTTTGTTGTCCTTAAGCCATTTTGCCACAACTTTGGAAGTATGCTTGGGGTCATTGTCCATTTGGAAGACCCATTTGCGACCAAGCATTAACTTCCTGACTGATGTCTTGAGATGTTGCTTCAATATATCCACATCATTTTCCTTCCTAATGATGCCATCTATTTTGTGAAGTTCCCTAGTCCTCCTGCAGCAAAGCACCCCCACAGCATGATGCTGCCACCCCCATGCTTCACGGTTGGGATGGTGTTTCTCAGCTTGCAAGGCACCCCCTTTTTCCTCCAAACATAACGATGGTCATTATGGCCAAACAGTTCAATTTTCTTTTCATCATACCAGAGGACATTTCTCCAAAAAGTACAATCTTTGTCCCCATGTGCAGTTGCAAACCGTAATCTGGCTTTTTTATGGTGGTTTTAGAGCAGTGGCTTCTTCCTTGCTGAGCGGACTTTTAGGTTATGTCGATATAGGACTCGTTTTACTGTGGATATAGATACTTTTGTACCTGTTTCCTCCAGCATCTTCACAAGGTCCTTTGCTGTTGTTCTGGGATTGATTTGCACTAAAGTACGTTCATCTCTAGGAGACAGAACGCGTCTCCTTCCTGAGTGGTATGACGGCTGCGTGGTCCCATGGTGTTTATACTTGTGTACTGTTGTTTGTACAGATGAACGTGGTACCTTCAGGTGTTTGGAAATTGCTCCCAAGAATGAATCAGACTTGTGGAGGTCCCAAAAAAAAATCTGAGGTCTTGGCTGATTTCTTTAGATTTTCCCATGATGTCATGATGTCCCGTGTAGCTCAGTTGGTAGAGCATGGCGTTTGCAATGCCAGGGTTGTGGGTTCGATTCCCATGGAGGGCTCTGGATAAGAGCAGCTGCTAAAATAAAATAATAAAATAAAAGTCAAGCAAAGAGGCACTGAGTTTGAAGGTAGGCCTTGAAATACAGGTACACCTCCAATTCACTCAAATGATGTCAATTAGCCTATCAGAAGCTTCTAAAGCCGAAACATATTTTTATGGAATTTTCCAAGCTGTTTAACGGCACAGTCAACTTAGTAAATGTAAACTTCTGACCCAAGTGAAATAATCTGTCTGTAAACAATTGTTGGAAAATTTACTTATGTCATGCACAAAGTAGATGTCCTAACCGACTTGCCAAAACTATAGTTTGTTAACAAGAAATGTGTGGAGTGGTTGAAGAACGAGTTTTAATGACCCCAACCTAAGTGTATGTAAACTTCCGACTTCAACTGTATATACATCTGTTCTGAAAGGCCCCAGAGTCTGCAACACCACTAAGCAAGGGGCACCACCAAGCAAGCAGCACCATGAAGACCAAGGAGCTCTCCAAACAGGTCAGGGACAAAATTGTGGAGAAGTACAGGTCAGGTTTGGGTTATAAAAAAATATCAGAAACTTTGAAGATCCCACAGAGCACCATTAAATCCATTATTAAAAAATTGAAAGAATATGGCACCACAACAAACCTGCCAAGAGAGGGCCGCCCACCAAAACTCACGGACCAGGCAAGGAGAGCATTAATCAGATAGGTAACAAAGAGAGCAAAGATAACCCTGAAGGAGCTGCAAAGCTCCACAGCGGAGATTGGGGTATCTGTCCATAGGACCACTTTAAGCCGTACACTCCACAGAGCTGGGCTTTACGGAAGAGTGGCCAGAAAAAAGCCATTGCTTAAAGAAAAAAAGAAGCAAACACGTTAGGTGTTCGCAAAAAGGCATGTGGGAGACTCCCCAAACATATGGAAGAATGAGACTAAAATTGAGCTTTTTGGCCATCAAGGAAAACTCTATGTCTGGCGCAAACCCAACACCTCTCATCACCCCGAGAACACCATCCCCACAGTGAAGCATGATGGTGGCAGCATCATGCTGTGGGGATGTTTTTCATCGGCAGGGACTGGAAAACTGGTCATAATTGAAGGAATGATGGATGGCGCTAAATACAGGGAAATTCTTAAGGGAAACCTGTTTCAGTCTTCCAGAGATTTGAGACTGGGTCGGAGGTTCACCTTCCAGCAGGACAATGACCCTAAGCATACTGCTAAAGCAACACTCGAGTGGTTAAAGGGGAAACATTGAAATGTCTTGGAATGGCCTAGTCAAAGCCCAGACCTCAATCCAATTGAGAATATGTGGTATGACTTAAAGATTGCTGTACACCAGTGTAACCCATCCAACTTGAAGGAGCTGGAGCAGTTTTGCCTTGAAGAATGGGCAAAAATACCCCAAGACTTGCAGCTGTAATTGCTGCAAAAGGTGGCTCTACAAAGTATTGACTTTGGGTGGGTGAATAGTTATGCACGCTCAAGTTTTCTTTTCTTTTTTTGTCTTATTTCATGTTTGTTTTACAAAAAAAAATATTTTGCATCTTCAAAGTGGTAGGCATGTTGTGTAAATCAAATGATACAAACCCCCAAAAATCTATTTTAATTCCAGGTTGTAAGGCAACAAAATAGGAAAAATGCCAAGGGGGGGCATTTTTCGCACGCCACTGTATATACACTACCAGTCAAAAGTTTGGACACACCTACTCATTCAAGGGATTTTCTGTATTTTTGCTATGTTTTACACTGTAGAATAATAGTGAAGATATCAAAACTATGAAATAACACATATGGAATAATGTAGTAATCAAAAAAGTGTTTAACAAATCAAAATATATTTTATATTTGAGATTCTTCAAATAGCCACCCATTGCCTTGATGACAGCTTTGCACACTCTTGGCATTCTCTCAAATAGCTTCATGAGGTAGTCACCTGGAATGCATTTCAATTAACAGGTGTGCCTTGTTAAAAGTTAATTTGTGGAATGGATTTCCTTCTTAATGCATTTGAGCCAATCAGTTATGTTGTGACAAGGTATACAGATGATAACCCTTTTAGGTAAAAGACCAAGTCCGTATTATGGCAAGAACAGCTCAAATAAGCAAAGAGAAATTATTACTTTAAGACATGACGTTCAGTCAATACGGAACATTTCATGAACTTTGAAAATTTCTTCTAGTGCAGTCGCAATAACCATGAAGCGCTATCATGAAACTGCCTCTCATGAGGACCACCACAGGAATGGAAGACCCAGAGTTACCTCTGCTACAGAGGTAGTGGATAGTGGGACTATCATTTGTTTTCAACAGGACAATGACCCACCACACCTCCAGGCTGTGTAAGGGCTATTTTACCAAGAAGGAGAGTGATGGAGTGCTGCATCAGATGACCTGGCCTCCATAATCCCCCGACCTCAGACCAATTGAGATGGTTTGGGAAGAGTCGGATGGCAGAGTGAAGGAAAAGCAGCCAACAAGTGCTAAGCATATGTGGGAACTCCTTCAAGACTGTTGGAAAAGCATTCCAAGTGAAGCTGGTTGAAAAAATGCCAAGAGTGTGCAAAGCTGTCATGTTGGCAATTTGAAGAATTTCAAATATAAAATATATTTTTTATTTGTTTAACACTTTTTTGGTTACTACATGATTCCAGATGTGTTATTTCATTGTTTTGATGTTTTCACTATTGTTCTACAATGTAGAAAATAGTAAAAATAAAGAAAAACCCTTGAATGAGTAGGTGTGTCCAAATGAGTGGTACTGTATATATAATAATAATAATAATAATAATAATAGTAATAATAATAATAATAACTAGAAAAGTACTTTTCTGAAGAAAATGTGGTTTGCATGCTAGCTTGTGAAGGATTGATTAATTGAGAGGATAGGATAGCCTGAACATGTGAAAGTTGGTTTGGTGTCTCTAGCTTGAACAGTTCAAGAGTTACTATTGGTGGGTTATTTTATTCAAATATATGCAATTGGATTTTCCGCAAAGGGACATGCCATAGTGACGGACAAGAATCTGATTGGCGGAGAAGCCCCGTCTTTATTCACCCGGACAGGCTAAGATCAACTTAACCTACTAGGTAGCAGGTTTGCTTCAGAGCAGTCGTTGCTATTGCTCAAATTTTGGTTTGACAGATTTCCCTAACTCACTAATCCGGCTTTCTGGAATACCCCTCAGCTTGTTAGCTGATAAGGTAACATGACTGAACCAGCTTGTTTGTTATCAAATAAATAGGCTACAGTCTGCGAGTAGCATAGTTTTAAAACGGTATTTATCTAATGTTTCCCTCGAATTTGCAATATATATTTTTTTAAATAGCCTATCTCCGGTAAAATGAATCATATCTTTTGTACGGCTTGGGCAAATTGTTTTCAGTAAAGTAATGGTGAAACCATGACAGTCACGACGCTGCGCTTATTTTTTCTCTATGGCATTCAGGTTGCGCTAGGCAGGCACACATATATTTTAAAAGATAGTTTATGACTTTTGAAAAAGTAGACTGCTGAAAATGAGTCAAGGGACGTGGGTTGATGGGTCCAGAGTGGTCCACTGGGTTGTAAAATCTTGACCAATCACAGCAGGCACCGCTAGCTGTGCTTCATTCCTAGGGCTTCTTGCAGTGCCTACTCTACTGCTTGTAGCGCAAGTGATGCAGGTTTATGGAAACTCATATCAGAGTACAGCTAGCCAGCAGATCCGACCCGCTTGTTTACAGCTGCACTAGGGTCGGACAGGCTTCCTTTGCCACAGCGGAGCTGGTGCGAGGTATGGCTCGGAAAACATACCTCAATCCAGGGATGAGAAATGCGTTGTACTCCGAATTGTCCCATTATCCCAACTGTTCCACCGAGATGACAGCTTGTTTTTCCGGAAAACTGTTATTTTTGTCCTTATGTTAGGTAGCAGAAGCCATAGCAGCCATTTTGGAATGGCAGTGTCAGCCAATCAGATCCTTTGCCAGTATGCCAAAAATGTCCTCCCGTCTGCTATTTTCCGCTTTCCCACACCCAAGGCTATAAATTCCTCCCACCAGCAGATAAGCGGAATTTGCTGTTCAAGACATGATTTGCATCTCTGGCGGGTAGCCTGCACTCATAGGACCACTATAAGCCCTTGGCAGGCCGGTTTTGCATCTCTGGCATTTAGCCTCCACTCAGAGGACAGCTAAAAAAAAGAGGACTGAGCACGCCCCCATTCTCATCGATGGGGCTGTAGTGGAACAGGTTGAGAGCTTCAGGTTCCTTGGTGTCCAAATCACCAACAAGTAGATAATAATCTATCAATATATAAAAAATAAGCGATGACAGGGTTTGAAGCTGAAAGAATTGCTTGCCTCTGACTGGTAGTGTCGCCTGTCGGGAGAAGGGCGGCTGGGTCGTGAGGAAAACGTCACATCAGCAGGAGGAACATGGCTGCCGCCTGATTCAAGCAACCTATCACGAGTTCCCCGTCAGTGAGGACGATGGGTAAAAAAGCTCCATAACGGCTGCTGTGGCTACTGCTAGCTAGCATGAGGACAAAAACAGCAGTTTATTTAAAAAACAGCAGTTGTTCAATCTTCTCGGTGTAACAGTTGGGATAATGGAACAATTCAGAGTACAACGCATTTCTCATCCCCTGATTAAGATACGTTTTCCGAGTGATATCTCGCGCCAACGCCGCAGTGTCTTAATCTACACATGAAGCCTGTCCAACCCTAGTGCATCTGTAAACAAGCGGGTCGGCTCTGCTGTCTAACGTACAACCCGCAATTTCAAAATTCTTCGACCATCAAAAGGTTTGGGGCTGGACTAAAAACATTTGGGTCTGAAGTCCCGGAAGCCCACACTGTAAAACTTTTCCCTTTAAATTGACAGCATTATACTGGCACCAGAGTTGCCAGCTTAATACTGTCATTTTACTTTACAGCAGAGATGCTGTAATATATTTTATAGTACTATTTTCCTTATTATAAAACATTTTCCTTACTGTAAATATAGTACTGTCAAAAATATAACAGCATCTGTTATAAAGCAAAATTACAATATTAAGCTGGCAATTCTGGTGCCAGTATAATGGTGTAAATGTATAGTGTAATTCTCCCTGAAAAAAACGATACATTTTTACATAAAATACATTTATTCAATTGGTGACAACAAATGAACAACAGAATTGACAATAGAAGTAACAACAGTTAACACATGTAACCAAATAAGAGCATCATTAAAACACTAGTTTAAAAACCATATTGTGTGCCTGTGTGTGGGAGATGTGGTGGAGAGAGAGACAAAGAGAGAGCGAGAGATGGAGTTAAAATTGGGATTGGCTACAATCCTAGATCTATGATCAGGGGCAACTCTATTCAGGTTAAGGGGTTTCAGAGGCGGTGGAACACACAACGGGACAGTTTGGGCAGGAGAGCATCCAGGAGAGAGATGTCAGTGCAGCATCTAGTGTTCCTCATGGGGCGCCGTAACAATCCTCCTCAGTTCTGATTTGTTAGCTCTTCTCAGCCCTAGGACAAGCATAGAAAAATAAAGAATACGGTATAATGAGAGACAGAGAGCACCAGGGCTGTTACACTGTGGGTAAAAAGAAAGGGGACATATCAAGCAGGTGGCGTGTGTGTTTTGTATTTACCTCACTAGAGGTCTCCTGTGACCAACAGATGCATATCTGTATTCCCAGTGAAAATGTGTGAAATCCATAGATTAGGGCCTAATTTATTTATTTCATTTTACTAATTTTCTTATATGAACTGTAACTCAGTAAAATCTTTGAAATTGTTGCATGTGTGTTTATATTTTCAGTGTAGTTTATGAAATCAGTTGAGCCATTGAACAAATACTAATAAGACAGCTAGATACACCTATTTCAAACCAATAAATACACAATACCACAGATTATTTTACCAGACTCACAACATTTTATTTAATTTCTCTGCCACCAAATGTTTATATACTACTGGTCAAGTGAACAGGCTTGGCTAATACTGTAACATTATGGAACAATGTTTTTGAGAGGTTATACGGACACGGGCGAATGTTGCACAGCTGAGAGCCGAGTGAACAGTGACAAGTAAGGAGGACATTGTTATTTTTTTATTTTTTTTATTTTTTTATTTAACCTTTATTTAACCAGGTAAGCCAGTTGAGAACAGGTTCTCATTTACAACTGCGACCTGGCCAAGATAAAGCAAAGCAGTGCAATAAAAACAACACAGAGTTACATATGGGGTAAAAAACATAAAGTCAAAAATACAACAGAATATATATATACAGTGTGTGCAAATGTAGCAAGTTATGGAGGTAAGGCAATAAATAGGCTATAGTGCAAAATAATTACAATAGTATTAACACTGGAATGCTAGATGTGCAAGAGATTATGTGCAAATAGAGATACTGGGGTGCAAAATAAATAACAATATAGGGATGAGGTAGTTGGGTGGGCTAATTTCAGATGGGCTGTGTACAGGTGCAGTGATCGGTAAGGTGCTCTGACAACTGATGCTTAAAGTTATTGAGGGAGATAAGAGTCTCCAGCTTCAGAGATTTTTGCAATTCGTTCCAGTCATTGGCAGCAGAGAACTGGAAGGAATGGCGGCCAAAGGAGGTGTTGGCTTTGGGAATGACCAGTGAGATATACCTGCTGGAGCGCAGACTACGGGTGGGTGCTGCTATGGTGACCAATGAGCTAAGATAAGGCGGGGATTTGCCTAGCAGTGATTCATAGATGGCCTGGAGCCAGTGGGTTTGACGACGAACATGTAGTGAGGACCAGCCAACAAGAGCGTACAGGTCACAGTGGTGGGTAGTGTATGGGGCTTTGGAGACAAAACGGATGGTACTGTGATAGACTACATCCAATTTGCTGAGTAGAGTGTTGGAGGCTATTTTGTAAATGACATCGCCGAAGTCAAGGATCGGTAGGATAGTCAGTTTTACGAGGGCATGTTTGGCAGCATGAGTGAAGGAGGCTTTGTTGCGAAATAGGAAGCCGATTCTAGATTTAACTTTGGATTGGAGATTCTTTATGTGTCTGGAAGTTGAGTTTACAGTCTAACCAGACACCTAGGTATTTGTAGTTGTCCACATACTCTAGGTCAGACCCGTCGAGAGTGGTGATTCTAGTCGGGTGGGCGGGTGCCAGCAGCGTTCGATTGAAAAGCATGCATTTAGTTTTACTAGTGTTTAAGAGCAGTTGGAGGCTACTGAAGGAGTGTTGTATGGCATTGAAGCTCGTTTGGAGGTTTGTTAACACAGTGTCCAATGAAGGGCCAGATGTATACAAAATGGTGTCGTCTGCGTAGAGGTGGATCTGAGAGTCACCAGCAGCAAGAGCGACATCATTGATATACACGGAGAAAAGTGTCGGCCCAAGAATTGAACCCTGTGGCACCCCCATAGAGACTGCCATAGGTCCAGACAACAGGCCCTCCGATTTGACACACTGAACTCTATCTGAGAAGTAGTTGGTGAACCAGGCGAGGCAGTCATTTGAGAAACCAAGGCTATTTAGTCTGCCAATAAGAATGCGGTGGTTGACAGAGTCGAAAGCCTTGGCCAGGTCGATGAAGACGGCTGCACAGTACTGTCTATTATCAATCACGGTTATAATATCGTTTAGGACCTTGAGCGTGGCTGAAGTGCACCCATGACCAGCTCGGAAACCGGATTGCATAGCGGAGAAGGTACGGTGGTATTCGAAATGGTCGGTGATCTGTTTGTTAACTTGGCTTTCAAATACTTTCGAAAGGCAGGGCAGGATGGATATAGGTCTGTAGCAGTTTGGATCTAGAGTGTCACCCCCTTTGAAGAGGGGGATGACCGCGGCAGCTTTCCAATCTCTGGGGATCTCAGACGTTATGAAAGAGAGGTTGAACAGACTAGTAATAGGGGTTGCGACAATTTCGGCGGCTAGTTTTAGAAAGAAAGGGTCCAGATTGTCTAGCCCAGCTGATTTGTAGGGGTCCAGATTTTGCAGCGCTTTCAAAACATCAGCTGTCTGAATTTGTGTGAAGGAGAAGCGGGGGGGGCATGGGCAAGTTGCAGCAGAGGGTGCAGAGTTGGTGGCCGGGGTAGTGGTAGCCAGATGGAAAGCATGGCCAGCTGTAGCAAAATGCTTGTTGAAATTCTCGATTATTGTAGATTTATCGGTGGTGATAGTGTTTCCTAGCCTCAGTGCAGTGGGCAGCTGGGAGGAAGTGCTCTTATTCTCCATGGACTTTACAGTGTCCCAAAACTTTTTGGAGTTAGTGCTACAGGATGCAAACACCATTGTCCCGGTGTTGTTCCGTTAATGCTCTCCCCATTGAGTATACTGTATCACGGGGACATCTAGATGGCTACCAATGTTAGTAATTTATTTTGTATGCTTCTATCTTCCTTGAAATCTAATCCTGGGAGGAAAAATAAATGGCCATGTTACTACCTACCAACGGCGACACTGTGATAGAGCTGCCCAGTGGACGCACTTAAGGTCGGCAGGCACCTCAATACAATACCGGTGCACTGGTAATTCGCATTGGCTTTAGCGGGTGATGCTGTGGCCCGTCAATCCGAAAAATAATGATGTTGTGCCGGTAATTTGTGTAAAATCTTTTGAACTGCTAGAAACAAGCCATTTTCTCTGTAGTAATGGTGAAAACATAATGGTCACGAATCTGCGCTCCATTTATTCTCTATGGCACTCAGAGGCTGCGGTACAGCGAAGCCTATCATCACAACAATTATTATCTGGGTGATTTGTTTTCTAGGTCGCACATAAATATATTTACGAGCAATTTAGAGCAGACCGAAATGGCTTGTCAACTTGAGATAGCTTACTATAGCTAGCTAGCAAACGTAAGGCAGCTATCTAGCTAAGAAAACATGTAGTAATTCAACGTTGGTTAGCAATAAAGATAAACAAGTCAAGGTACCTACTCAGCAGCTGCTGAAAATATTCTTCCACTTCACAGCAGCTTCAAGAATATATTTACTAAAATAGTCTGAGCTTTATGTGTCTCACCTGACAGCATGAGGTTGGCGCCTGAAACTGATCATTTGAATCTACAGTAGGAATAAGCTATTACTGTAAAGAAATATAGTATGTTAGAGTAATTTTTACTGGAGGCTTCCAATTACAGATAATAACAGTATTACATTTTACCCATAATGCAGTGCAATCTACAGCATGTATGCTGTTAAAGTGATTGACGTATTTTTACTGTGCATTCTACAGTGTTTTACTGTTGAAATTACAGAAAAGTCTTACAGTGCAGGCCTAATGACCGAGTGTACTTGGCACCTCTGAACAGAGTGCCAACCATAATTTGAAAACCGATTCTACATGTAGAAACCAGCGAAAATGTCGGCAGTCAGACGCCTACCGGCAGTTGGAAATCCGTTCTCTATTGACGCAGATGCTGTATTAATCACAATTATTATTCCACTCAACTGAATAATTTCTGTTCTTTCATATACAGAAATTAAACTCTACACTTTTGATGTCCAGCAAACAAAGAAAACCGAGCTCTCTGTCTCCATGGGAGGAGATCGTATCAGTTTAAATCCAAAAAGGCAGGAGGGAAACAAAAATGGTAAGAGATCGGATGAAAGGAAAAACAACATTCATGACAACATTAAGGCATTAATGTCAGCTAAAGATGCATTTAAATGTGATGAGAATCTTATCAAAGTAACAAGTCAAATGTTATTGTTTTTGGGGGATCCTCTACATTTGTCAAATGTAGAACCAAACACTAGCACTTACTGTATCAACATCTGATATAAACTTCAATATTACTACATTCAAATTCAATATTTTTTTTTCTGTACATCAGGAAGTGTGTCCATAGTTTTCCTGCGGTATGACAGTGTCGGTGGCATCCTGAAACCAAACACTGACCCTGGTGTTACAGACTACACGCGCTACGCAGAAACAGGGGAAATCGTTGTGAACTCTCAGGTGATAGCGGCCGCCATCAAACCTGCTGACATGTACCAGCTGGACCATGTGACCTTCACTCTCAGACACACAGAGGTATGCTCACAGTCACACAGACAGCCTAGACTGATCCATTAGCTCTCCAGCGGCAGACCGCTAACTTGTGACGCACATACTAAATTACAACACTCCTATAAATCCTGTTTTGATGTCAATGGGAGATTTGTGCTACAATTCAAGTTAAGTTATGGAGAGTTGTGATTAATATGCATGGTCTTATGTTAGCTTACAAGTGCATGCAGGCACGATATGGTCATTCAGTATTTCCACAATCAAAAGGTAGCCATTTGTTTTTCACGAACCACCCCATTTATTTTGTATTTTTTTCAGACACATACAGTGAGGGAAACAAGTATTTGATCCCCTGCTGATTTTGTACGTTTGCCGACTGACAAAGAAATGATCAGTCTATAATTTTAATGGTAGGTTTATTTGAACAGTGAGAGACAGAATAACAACAACAAAATCCAGAAAAACGCATGTCAAAAATGTTATAAATTGATTTGCATTTTCATGAGGGAAATAAGTATTTGACCCCCTCTCAATCAGAAAGATTTCTGGCTCCCAGGTGTCTTTTATACAGGTAACGAGCTGAGATTTGGAGCACACTCTTAAAGGGAGTGCTTCAAATCTCAGCTTGTTACCTGTATAAAAGACACCTGTCGACAGAAGCAATCAATCAATCAGATTCCAAACTCTCCACCATGGCCAAGACCAAAGAGCTCTCCAAGGATTTCAGGGACAAGATTGTAGACCTACACAAGGCTGGAATGGGCTACAAGACCATCGCCAAGCAGCTTCGTGAGAAGGTGACAACAGTTGGTGTGATTATTTGCAAATGGAAGAAACACAAAATAACTGTCAGTCTCCCTCGGCCTGGGGCTCCATGCAAGATCTCACCTCGTGGAGTTGCAATGATCATGAGAACGGTGAGGAATCAGCCCAGAACTACACGGGAGGATCTTGTCAATGATCTCAAGGAAGCTGGGACCATAGTCACCAAGAAAACAATTGGCAACTCACTACGCCGTGAAGGACTGAAATCCTGCAGCGCCCGCAAGGTCCCCCTGCTCAAGAAAGCACATATACAGCCCCCTCTGAAGTTTGCCAATGAACATCTGAATGATTCAGAAGAGAACTGGGTGCAAGTGTTGTGGTCAGATGAGACCAAAATTAAGCTCTTTGGCATCAACTCAACTCGCCGTGTTTGGAGGAGGAAGAATGCTGCCTATGACCCCAAGAACACCATCCCCACCGTCAAACATGGAGGTGGAAACATTATGCTTTGTGGGTGTTTGTCTGCTAAGGGGACAGGACAACTTCACCGCATCAAATGGACGATGGACGGGGCCATGTACCGTCAAGTCTTGGGTGAGAACCTCCTTCCCTCAGCCTGGGCATTGAAAATGGGTCGCGGATGGGTATTCCTGCATGACAATGACCCAAAATACACGGCCAAGGCAACAAAGGAGTGGCTCAAGAAGAAGCACATTAAGGTCCTGGAGTGGCCTAGCCAGTCTCCAAACCTTAATCCCATAAAAAATCTGTAGAGGGAGCTGAAGGTTCGAGTTGCCAAGCGTCAGCCTCGAAACCTTAATGAATTGGAGAAGATCTGCAAAGAGGAGTGGGACAAAATCCCTCCTGAGATGTGTGCAAACCTGGTGGCCAACTACAAGAAACGTCTGACCTCTGTGATTGCCAACAAGGGTTTTGCCACCAAAACTGTGGTCCTCTGTAGCTCAGCTGGTAGAGCACGGTGCTTGTAACGCCAAGGTAGTGGGTTCGATCCCCGGGACCACCCATGGATAAAAGCGTCTGCTAAATGGCATATTATTTATTATATATTTACTAAGTCATGTTTTGCAGAGGGGTCAAATATTTATTTCCCTCATTAAAATGCAAATCAATTTATAAAATTTTTGACATGCGTTTTTCTGGATTTTGTTGTTGTTATTCTGTCTCTCACTGCTCAAATAAACCTACCATTAAAATTATAGACTGATCATGTCTTTGTCAGTGGGTAAACGTACAAAATCAGCAGGGGATGATATACTTTTTTCCCTCACTGTATTTTGCCATAACATATCCAATTCTGCTATTTTATTCCCTTTCTTTTGAAGCCTATTGACACCAAAGATGATGAAACCAAATGTGCCTTCTGGGAGTATGATCCGTCCAGCATGCAGGGCCATTGGGCCACACAGGGCTGTGAGCAAACCCACGTCAACAGCACCACCACCACATGCTCCTGCAATCACCTCACACACTTCGCCATTCTTATGTCTTCTGGACGGGCCAACGTAAGTGTCCATACCATCCATATGAATGCATTCCAATTCCCTGTGGCTGTCTCGTTGGTTATCTAAACATCTTGCATCAAAGGCAAAATGGAAGTGATTTTCAATAGAAAAGACTAGCTAACTTGTATTTATTTTATTTTTTTAAAGGAGAGTGGAATTGCACCCTCCTTTATATTTTGTGTTGTTTATTCAGACAGCACATAAATATAGAGGGATATAGGACAGGAGACAAGAAAATGTGAATGGTGTCCATGGGGATTGAACCAACCACCTTTTGGTCTCTATGCTTAGTATTGGGGGCTATACCATTCAACCACACAAGTGCACTAGATTGTAGGTTTAACATCTTAAAGTCTGACGCCTTCTGGTGGCCTTTTCTAAACAACACATAATATTGTATAATACCCTCATAAAATACAGAGATACAGCAGGCCAACATTTTTTGAAATGTACTACGTTTTTCGTTCGGGGAATAAGAGATTTGGAAGTCAAGATTTGAAATAAAATATGTCCCCAATTACTGTCCCAAAATGATTTTTTAAGTAAATGAAAAAAAAAAGGTCAGATCGTTTACTTAATGGTTTCCAAAAACACAAGGGCTGTAGCTTTCAAATTATATGTCACTTTCTATTTTCTGACAACAACAAAACTGGGGGAGAAGCAGGGAGAGGGGGGATATGAGTTCTGAGCTGTAAAAAGGATGCACCTTCTCACTGTGTTGGTTCTTCTTTTCAGATGGCGGCCCACTACAACATTCTGACCAGGATCACTCAGCTGGGAATGATCATCTCCATCATCTGCCTGTCCATGTGCATCTTCACCTTCTGGTTCTTCAGTGAGATACAGAGTACCAGAACCACCATTCACAAGAACCTGTGCTGCAGCCTCTTCATGGCTGAGTTCATCTTTCTGGTCGGGATCAATATGAACACCCATAAAGTGAGCACTGACTGCACTTCGGCTCCAATAAATATTGAACAGCATATTCTTGAACATAGCCAGACAGTATGTTCCATAAAGTGAACCAGTGTGTATGTGTGTGTGTGCCTCTGTCTGCATCTCCTTTGCATTTGTTTACATATGTAGTCACCCTTGTCTTATAAGATTTCATAGATGGTAAGTCTGTCTAATATGATAAAGGTCAATTTTGTTTCTCTCTTTGTCTGCCCTCAGCTATTCTGCTCCATCATTGCTGGGCTTCTCCATTATTTCTTCTTAGCGGCTTTTGCCTGGATGTGCATTGAGGGGATCCATCTGTACCTTATAGTGGTTGGTGTCATCTACAACAAAGGATTCCTGCATCGCAACTTTTACATCTTTGGATATGGAAGCCCTGCAGTGGTGGTGGCCATTTCGGCTACACTTGGCTCCAAGTATTATGGTACCAATAAGGTGTAAGTAGAAAAAGGGAGTGTGCTTGTTAGGTGTTGTTTTAGCACTACACACCAGCATGTGGTTAAACATTGTTTTATGTTTCAAAGGTGTTGGCTGAGCACAGAAAATAACTTTATTTGGAGTTTCATTGGGCCTGCGTGTTTGATTATCCTGGTAAGGTTCAACATTTTAATTTCATCAAATTATTTTCAATAAATCTTCACAAATTTTATTGGACATTCAAGAATTTCCTTTCTTTCAGAAATGTCTGGAAGCACATTGATTCATTCATATACAACATGTTATCATTTTGCATGTCAGTAATTGGTAATAAAGTTTATGACATTCCATAATTACATCAAGAAGTTGTTTGCTCCAAACAACATGTTGTAGTAGTTTTAGGTTGTTTCTCATGGTTTTGTATGTGTCTATCTGGTCTAAGGTCAATCTCCTGGCTTTTGGAGTGATCATTTACAAAGTGTACCGACACACTGCTGTGAAGAAGCCCGAGATTAGCCACTACGAAAACATAAGGTAAGCCTGATATTGACTTTTAGCCAAAGACCCAGTGCTTGTTGAGTACTCAACATGTGTAAAAAATATATATATTATTGTTACAGTTAGTAAAATTGTCACACAGAAGTACTGAATATTGAGCAGATACTTTATGTTAGGGAAGAACTTGAGCTACAAACGTTAGCATTAAGCTGATTTGTATGAGCCTTGAGTTAAGCACACATACTGTACATCAAGTCCAGAATATGGCTCACAATGACAAAAGCATATATGGTCCTTCTAGGTCCTGTGCTCGTGGTGCCCTTGCCCTTCTGTTTGTCCTGGGCGCCACCTGGACATTTGGTGTGTTGCACATCCTCAACGAGACCACTCTCACAGCCTATCTCTTCACCATTGCCAACGCTTTCCAAGGGATGTTCATCTTCATCTTCCTCTGTGTGTTGTCCAGAAAGGTAACACCTTCCTCTCAATTAGGTTCATAATTATGGCCCAGAGTTTTGCCTGGTCAGATCATATGGTCAGTAGATAAACAACTTCTGGCCCTATTTGTAATTACTTGAGCATTCCTTAGTTTAATTTCTTTATTATAAAAATGTTGTCATATTTTACCTCATCCACCCACTGAGGCTAACTAATGTGTTATACATTCGCCATTCCATTTGACTTTAACAGATCCAAGAGGAGTACTACCGGCTGTTCAAAAATGTGCCATGTTGTTTTGAGTGCCTGAGATGAACAAGGCTGCGAAATCCAGAGGGCCCATCATCAGCAAATGTTACTGGGGACTCTGGAGTATTTTTTTAAAGTAGAGTACAGCACTGCAATATCTTTAGATTTTAGTCATTTAGCAGACGCTCTTATCCAGAGCGACTTACAGTTAGTGAGTGCATACATTTTCATACTGGCCCCACGTGGGAAACGAACCAAAACCCTGGCATTGCAAGCGCCATGCTCTACCAACTGAGCTACAGGGGACCTACCCTGTACAATACATTCTTTACCACTATGTATGCTTCGTTTACCAGGCAAAGATAATAATAATAAGAACAGACTTGTTCAACTGATGCAAATTGTTCATGTAGCAAATAATGTATTGTGTTTAAATCTGTTTTCTCCTTCTTGTTATATTCTTGTAAGATTGACTCAAAGGTAGACTAAGGAAAATGACATTGTCACGAGCAGCACCACAGATATTGCGATGAGCGTGACGCAAGACTTCTCTCTCACACACAGTCACACGTAGTATCTGCGCATGTGCATGGGTTCGCTTCACCACGGGCCCAAAACAGCTGAGTTGTTGCAGAAATTGACCCACTTTGCTTTTTACTTTGTGCATCTACGTCATGTTGCTGAGTCAACCTTTAATATTCTACATTTTGACTTGTGAGAATTTTTTGTGTGTTTTAGTTTTTTTGCACTAAACATTTCACTGTCTCATCCTAAACCCAGAATCGTGCTTCTGTTATATTTTTATATAATGACTGAGCATTCTCACATTACTTAACAGTTTCTCAGATACCTTATTAACTTGGTGTTCACCAGTTTGCACTTCTGTTTTCTATCAAAAATCTGTATTGATCGTTAACAGATGGAGGATGAGTGTAGTACACCAACACAGCATTGTATGTCCTATTAAGTATTTACTTTTAATAAAGATTCAGCTTTTTCAGTATGTGTGTCATATTAGTTTGTAAATTATTAAAGTGAGTCAAAAACAAATCAAATGCATAAAAATATAGACATAATGACTGTAAAAACTATTACATCCCCGTGAATTGATGAGGAATTGAAAGATTGTATGGTTGAGAGGGATGAGGCAAAAGGAATGGCAAATAAGTCTGGCTGCACAACCGATTGGCAAACCTACTGCAAATTGAGAAATCATGTGACGAAACTGAATAAAAAGAACAAGAAACAACACTATGAAACAAAGATAAATGACGCAAAGACTGATAGTAAAAAGCTTTGGAGCACCTTCAATGAAATGTGGGATAAAAGGCAAACTCGGCTCCATCATTCATTGTATCAGATGGCTCATTCATTACAAAATGTGGGATAAAAGGCAAACTCGGCTCCATCATTCATTGTATCAGATGGCTCATTCATTACAAAACCGACTGATATGGCCAACTATTTTAATGATTTGGCAAGATTAGCAAATGTAGGCATGACATGCCAGCAACAAATGCTGACGCTACACATCCAAGTATATCTCACCAAAAAGCTTTGTAATTTTGGAGGAGAAAAAAAAAAGATTGTTGTCTATCAACAATTACAAGCCACCGGGGTCTGACAACTTGGATTGAAAATTACTGAGGATAATAGCGGACGATTTTGCCACTCCTATATCTTCAATTTAAGCCTACTGGCAAGTGTGTGCCCTCAGGCCTGGAGGGAAGCAAAAGTCATTCCGTTACCTAAGAATAGTAAAGCCCCCTTTACTGGCTCAAATAGCAGACCAATCTGCCTGTTACCAACCCTTAGTAAAGTTTTGGAAAAACTGTGTTTCACCAGATACGATGCTATTTTACAGTAAACAAATTGACAACAGACTTTAAGCATGCTTATAGGAAACAAGCACAACACTTACACAAATGACGGATGATTGTCTGAGAGAAATGTATGATAAAAAGATTGTGGGGGTTGTTTTGTAAGACTTCAGTGTGGCTTTTGACATTATCAATCATAGTCTGCTGCTGAAAAAACATATGTGTTATGGCTTACACCCCCTGCTATATTGTGGAAAAATAGTTACCTGTCTAACAGAACACAGAGGGTGTTCTTTAATGGAAGCCTCTCCAACATAATCTAGGTAGAATCAGGAATTCCAAAGGGCAGCTGTCTAGGCCCCTTACTTTTTTCAATCTTTACTAATGACATGCCACTGGCTTTGAGTAAAGCCAATGTGTCTATGTATGCGGATGACTCAACACTATACACGTCAGCTACTACAGCAACTGAAATGACTGCAACACTTAACAAAGAGTTGCAGTTAGTTTCAGAACGGGTGGCAAGGAATACGTTATTTATAAGTTCCTAAATATTTCAAAAACTAAAAGCATTGTATTTGATACAAATCATTCACTAAACCCTAAACCTAAAAGGTGACTAAACTGCTTGGAGTAACCCTGGATTGTAAACTGTCATGGTCAAAACATATTGGTACAACAGTAGCTAAGATGGGGAGAAGTATGTCCATAATAAAGTGCTACTCTACCTTCTTAACAGCACTATCAACAAGGCAGGTCTTACAGGCTCTAGTTTTGTCGCACCTGGACTACTTTTAAGTCGTGTGGTCAGGTGACACAAAGAGGGACTTGTAATTGGCTCAGAACAAGGCAGCACGGCTGGCCCTTGAATGTACACAGAGAGCAAACATTAATAATATGCATGTCAATCTCTCCTGGCTCAAAGTAGAGGAGAGATTGACTTCATCACTACTTGTATTTGTGAGAGGTATTGACATGTTGAAAGCACCGAGCTGTCTGTTTAAACGACTAGCACACAGCTCAGACACCCATGCATACCCCACAAGACATGCCACCAGAGGTCTCTTCACAGTCCCCAAGTCCAGAACAGACTATGGGAGGCGCACAGTACTACATAGAGCCATGACTACATGGAACTCTATTCCACATCAGGTAACTGATGCAAGCAGTAGAATCAGATTTAAAAAACAGATACAAATACACCTTATGGAACAGAGGGGACTGTGAAGCAGTGCAAACATAGGCACAGACACATGCATACACACACATGATAACATACACACTATACACACACGTACACATGGATTTTGTGTTGTAGATATGTGGTAGTGGAGTATGGGCCAGAGGTCACACACTTAGTGTGTTGTGAAAAAAATACATGTATAACTGTCTTAATTTTGCCGGACCCCAGGAAGAGTACAGCAGCTAATGGAGATCCATAATAAATAAAAATACAAATAATGACCTCTTCTGAACGTTTTCCACTTTGTAAAACCTAAAGGTTTTTTCTTTATCGTCTCATCCCTTTAACTGTAGTTATTTATTTTTGAAAAATTCCTCTTGAGTGTGAGGAGCAAGAGATGGATGACACCAGAGAGGAAGAGGCAAAGCGAGAGGGATAACTTGGCGTAAAGTATTTTTTGTCCAGCAGGTGGCGGTTTTTAATTTAATTTTGCTCAGCAAGCGAAGAGTTTTTGTATGGAGGTCAGAGAGAGTGTCTAATTTGGTGAACAAAAAATGTAATGGTTTATATGCTACGTGAGGTTTATTTGATTGAAAATATAAGTTTTGTAATGCTTATGTTGTTACGAGTGTACTGATATAAGTAGGACATGTGACATCCCGGCAACTTTCAGAAAAAAACACTTTATATCGGAGTTGTGCATGTTAGTGCTATCCGGAATCCTTGGGACGTCCCTACCCTAAACCCTAACCATAACCCTTACCTAACCCTAATCTGTACCTGAACCAATTAAAATGTCAACTTCAATGGGGTAGGTACGTCCCAAGGATCCCAGATAAAAAGGATTGTTGTGGTTGTTCACACGTGCATCTGCCCTCTCATTGACTAGAATGGTCCCACCTGATCTTGCCTCCTCCCGACTGCCTTTCATTTTTTAAGACATTTATTTTCATTGTTAGAGCCGCCAATGGAGTATCTGGTCAATATAATGGAACATCTGTGACGACACTGACTCTGGTGGTTTCTGATAAAAATGAAAATTCCACCATCTACTGGAAACTATCACTATAACTAGCATAACACTGTTTAATGCCCCATTGCCCCAACTTGACGAAATAACTGAAAGGGCATATGTGAGACTGTAAGGGGGGATTGGTGTCCTCTACTGGAGCTCTATCAATGGGACAATAAAACAGACAATTGGCCTTGCCCCATCTTCATAAAACAATGTGTCTCTTTCTTCTATCCAATAATACTCTCTCCATTTCATATTCCTGTTTTCCTTCCTTCAATCATAATGAATAAGATTACATGGACGGGGGACCTGATCCTAGATCAGCACTCCTACCCTGAGATGCTTTATGAATACAGGCCCTGGTTTTGTTAAGGGAGATTTATGTAACAGCGGAGGCCAGACAGGAGCTAAAAGCAAAAATCACAACAAAGACTGTCAGGACCATCGCCAGAAAATAGAAAGAAAAAGATAAATGGCCACTCAAATGGTTGATTGCTGCTTGATGTCATCATCCTTCTGTAGTTATCTGTGTCTGTGGCCTACATGCTCTTTTACTGGGAGTAGGAGCCAGAGGTCCATCAAACAAAGAAAACCAAGCTCTTGGTCTCCATGGGAGGAGATCATATCAATTTAAATCCAATAATGGTAAGATTGGTAGAGCATGGCACTTGCAACACCAGGGTTGTGGGTTCGATTCCCACAGGGGACTAGTACGAATGAAAATGTATGCACTCACTACTGTAAGTCACTCTGGATAAGTGTGTCTGCTAAATGACTAAAATGTAATATGTATGATAACATTAACACCAGAACCGCTGGGCGTCGATGGACCCCCCTTCAAGCTAATGAGCAGTCATTCTGACTGCAACATTCTAACAGTGTAATTAATATAGTTCATATATGCTATAGCAAAACTAATCATTTGGTTGTGTTTATGAAGGCCTTGGGTAACATTCAAATACAATTAGTATTTTATTTCAAATAACACAATAGCATTTTCAATAGTTTATGCTATGTGTAAAAAAAATAAAAAAAATATATAAGTGTT